GTTGACCGAAACTTCTTTATTGACTTTCAAATAGTAAGTTAGTTGAGGAACGGCGAAGACCACACAAACTCCGACTGACTTCAGTGGCGGCTTACCAACACAAACTCAGAAGAACCTCTGCTTAGTTGAAACTCCAGTAATTCACAGCAACCTCAAAGCTCTAAACGCGAGCTTTAAAAACCTAACAAATTTGCGTCTGCGCCGCTCCTCGGTACAAAGAAAGAAATACAATTTGCATAACATCGAACAGTAGGACTAAAAAACTTTTATAAAATAAATTAAGAGTAGAATTTAAAAAAAAAGCCCATCTGCATTCCCTAAAAATTTAAACTTGATAACGGCATATCTTAAATTAATATTGAAAAATTTTATACTGACATGATTTTAAACAAGTACAAACTAATCTCTAGAAATGAAGTTACAGCAGATACTTTCTATAATATAAACTTAATATTTGATTCTTTGATTAGAAAATGTAATTTAAGGTACCTAAGATCAAAGTCTAATCAAAATAAATTTACTAATAAAGCCTAAGCATGTTTCTGAAGATACTGGCAAATTCCTATAACAGAATATAGGAAATACAGATGTTACAAAAAATAATAAAACCCCCCTTTTTTGTAAGTATTATAAATATATTTATTAAAAACGCCAATACTTGATGACTATACATTAATGTTCAGCAATGTATCATCCATATTAGGGGACCAACTTTTATTTTTGAAAATGTCACAGTCTACGTGCTAAAATCTTGACATTTAGCACATTCTTTTTATATTTTAAATGGCATGGACACATACTAGTCTTGTGTACAAATATGTAACAATGAGGCAGGGGGTATTAAACCAGCACATTTTTATTAATTGAAAATGAGCCACAAAAAATAGATTACATTTAATTTTATTGTATCATTAATCGGAAGTCTGCATCAGTATGGCTCATATTAGGTGTTCACAACTGAGTGTTTATCCAAAAATGTTGAATTTTCAGTGTGGGAATGGGTAAATGAGGAACAATGTTTAGACTTCATGAACTAAAAATATGAAAAAGCTTATTTACTCAAGTATGTAGATCCAATTAAAAAACAAGATATATTAGCTACATTTGGTGATATTTGGATACTTTTAAGTGATGTTTTTCTAAAAATCTTCAACTTCTCTGCCATATAAGGGTAGGTCAGTTTGTAGAGTTTTATTTTTTAACACATTTTTTTCAATATGAAATGAGTCAAATTTTTGCAGCAATAAATTTTACATTTAAATCCTTTTTGAAAGGAAAAGACAAATACTGCACAATAACTACTTCAAAATGATGAAATATGACAGATCCACCAGTGGAAAAGCATTTAACACTGATAGTTCAACATGGGTTTGATACCAAGCTGGCCACATAGGCATATTTGTGTTTTCCCCCATGTATATGAATTACTGTTATGTATATATTTACATGGATACAAGTCAGGTTCTGTCAGGCAGATAGTCCTCGCATCCCTTGCCATAAACAAATAAACCAAACCATGAAATCTGGCCTTACAATTACCTTTTTAACTTCTGTAACATATTTTTCAAAGTAATAATTGCAATTTTGACATTTTTGTAGGTGATTGGTCATATTTGGAAAGTGATTGTTTTACTGGAGATTTTCTATTAGTATAATAAATTTTGTGTGCATTAATGCTACTGATTATTTTAATATAAATGTAAAATCTGTTAATGCAGAATCACTGAACCAAGTTTCACCATTTAAATTTGAACATTCTTGATCTTGCTCAGGAATTTTTTTTTAATCTCAGTTAATAAATTACAAAATCCTCACTGAGATTTGCTTCTACTTTACCACTTTATATCCATATGTAATAATAATTCTGGTTGCCCTTCATCAAACTGTGGGAAGAGATGCCATTTGAAAGAACTTCCTTGAATGGAATTAATAATTTTAATGCTATATCCATTATTTCATTTGTGTTTAATCTTTTGTTGGCTAACATTTATGAGTGAACTGTGCAGTGGTAGCTCAAAAACGTTCAGAATTAATTCATCATTTTTGCAGAGTTTTGATCCTTTTACCAGCCCAGGTTTTCCAAAACTGCCATGAGAAAGAGATATTTTTCTTGACAATGCCAAAATGTCCCTGCTACTTTAGACCCGAGATTATGTTCTCTTAATATATATTGCCTTAATTTCTTGAAGATATTCCAAGGTGCACATCTATATATATACTTTCATAAAAATATCGCAAAAAGGATTTTAGTGGTGCTTATATATACCTCTATATACAGTGGTGGTCCAAATTGTGGACACTTTTGGAAATTTTTATGTTTTTGAACTTTGTATGCTTATAGAAAACGTTACGTTTCACAAAATGCAAACTTGTATATATCATTTTAAAGAGAATTTATTACTGAATTCAATACAAAACACAAAATTAAATTATTTGCAATACAAAAAAGTTAAATGATAATAGTTATTGATATACATTAGATAGTGATGATTGCAGTGAGTTATCAGTACTTAGTAGGGTACCCTTTATTTTTTATTACAGCTTCACATCGACATTTCATTGAGCTAACAAGAGTTTTAAGCTCTTCTTTCATTATTACATGATGCCAGGAAACAATTATAGCCTCAATTAGTTCCCTTTTATTTGATGGGCACCTCATTCGGACAATAGTTTTCAAACGGTGCCACAAATTTTCGATAGGATTGAAGTCACGACTGTTTCCTGGCCATGATACAAATTTAATGCTCTTTGTACAAAACCACTCTTTCGATATTTTGGCCGTGTGGCAAGGAGCAGAATCTTGCTGAAAAATAAACGAAGCATTGTTGGAAAAGAGATCTCTGATGGAAGGTAGAAGTTTTGGTTCTAGAATAGTGTCAATGTATTTTCTGGCATTCAGTGTCCCATCGATGACATGAAGGCGACCATACCATCTGCTGACATGCATGACCAAATCATAACACTAACTGGGTTCTTCACAGTTGCTTGAATGCAGTCAGGAGGTAGCTCTTCTCCTATTCTACGTCTTACATATTTTCGCTCATCACTACCAAATAACGATATCTTAGTTTCATCACTCCATATAACTTGTGACCATTGATCATCTGTCCAATTAATGTGTTCCTTTGCCCAATGTAATCTTTTTTTTCGTTGCTGAAAATTAAGATAACGCTTTTTTTTTGTGGAATTCCACCTCTCAGTCCAACATCTGTTAATCTTCTCCTTATTGTTCTTGAACTGACAGAAATACCATCATCATTCAGATCACTTCTGATGACCGCTGATGATATAGTCTTCATCTTTCTGTCATCAATAGATGTGGTGCACCTTTTTCGGCCTTTTCCTTCTTTGTTTTTTATTGAATTTGTCTCCTGAATCATAAACAAAACTTTCAGACTCCAGATGTAGTCACTGAACCACCCACCTGTCTTGCAATTTCAGCATAGGAAAGACCACTTTCTCGTAACACAATAATATTACACTCTTTCTAGGTGTCTAATCTACTCTTTTATTTGATGTTATTGCTTCTTGACTAAATATTAAAAATTTTTACAAAATTCCTACTTGTAATTGCAGTGTATAAGAAACAGGTCCTCCTTCTACAGAACAAAGCAAAATAATGAATTGTTTCAAGTGTAAACATGATGTCAGCTTCTACTGGCAGTTACTAACATTTTATTGATTCTCAGAATAAGAACAGTGATTGGCCAGGAAAGCTAGACATTACAACCCACTTCATAACTGTGTTTTTTATTTATATTAAAGTACATATAACTTTTTTTGTATTGCAAATAATTGAATTTTGTGTTTTGTATTGAATTCAGTAATAAATTCTCTTCAATTTTGGCCACCACTGTATAAGGCCTAGAGTAATTTTTGACCCGTTAAACTGCTTAAATGGGTTTAACCAGTCAGAGGGTTAAACCCATTTATGCAGTTTATCACTGCTTCTGCTCCATCTGTTGTTTCAAATTAGTGAGGTTGTTTTTAGAAGAATTGAATATATTCACACCTCTAGTCCCTGTCTTTCAAAGAAATCATACCAGTAATTCTTTAGAAATCATACGAATAAAATTAAGCAAATGTTCTATCTTGATTTTATCTGATTTACCATATGGAGAGAGAAAACATCTATTAATGCCCCTATATAATTGCTGTCTAATATTTTCCCATTCCATTGCATCACAATATTTTGAGAGAATTGTAGATGCTTAACTGCAATAATTTTTGTTCTTAAAATCATGAAAAGTGAATGACATCTCAAAATATCTTTTTATAAATTTGTCAGAAAATGGTTTACTTTTTTTTTTTTTTTTTTTCTCTAAAATATGAAATGATGCAATTATTACTGCACATGATTCCAGTATGGGCTTTTTAAAAACATTTTGTTCAATTCTTAATTGAGCCCCAAGACCCCTAATTTCATTTTTTGTTTTAAGTCATTAGTTTTATGGATAATCTGCTTGATATTAGATATATAAAGTTATAAATGCCGCTTCAGTTTACATTTTTTAGTAAAGGCGACAGATCCATTAGATATTAAACAACATCTGTCATTCACCATTGTGAAAAAGTAATCAAGTTTCCATTCTTTGTGAAAATGATAGGTCTGATCACTACTCATTTAAATGGGTATTAAAATGCAAAAGAAATATACAAGACAAGTTTAATTTAAAAATAGAAAGATGGGATTTACATTTTTTCACAGCAGTAGTATTAAGAAAAGTTAACACTTTTTTTAGAAATGCAAATGGAATGTTACCCTATGGTGAATACTATATGCTGAAAACAGAAATACCTGCTTATATATTATTATACTGAGGATTAAAAGTGGGTACAGAGAGCTCCCTAGATGGCACGTTAGACAGTGAGTGAATCACAGATGATGTAAGACACCAATCTTTTTCCATACTCACAAAAGCAAATTGACAGTGTCAGTTATATTATAGCAGTCAAAACTGTTTGTTTGTATTAATCATGACTAAGTTGCATATAAAAAATTAAGCTTTATTTGTACTTAAATCAGCATAAGCATACATTTAAAATAGTTCTAAAATATCTATAATTTTAAAATTCTTCTGTCAAAATATAACTACAATAATTTGTTATATAAGGCACTTGAGTAATCAGTTGATGAACAACACATTATAAATTCATATTGCATATAATTTTAAAATCATAACATTGTCAAAATTTTTAATTCAGACATATTCAAGAATTCTAGTCAATTGATGAACAATACATTAGAAATTCATATTGAACACAGTTTTAAAGTCCTGCAAAATTTTTTGAAGCATAACACTGTCAAAATTTTGAAATGAAACATGCTCAGTGATCTAGACTAATATTACGTGTACTTACAGCTATCCACAAAGTATTAATTTTCATCATTTGAAATATTTTCTTTGTTTGATGAGCAATCAACAACAACCTCAGAATTTTCCTTCCTGTAAAAAAAAAAAAAAAAAAAAAAAAAAAAAAAAAACCACCACTTTTATGAATAACCAGAACCTAGTCCGATGCTCAAACAGCACAGTTTAAAATGACAGCAGACAGCAATTTATGAAATATTTTTCAGTGAAAGTGACAGCAGACAGCAATTTATGAAATATTTTTCAGTGAAAGTATGATTCAAGAATTTGTTGCAAACTTCTATAACATATTACATAGGATGTAATTTTATTTCTGTAAAATATGTAAATTAAGTGAAGAAATTGTAATTTCTTCACTTAATTTACATATTTACATAGAAAGATATACATAGAAATTGTAATTTCTTCACTTAATATACATATTTCATTGCCTCCCATATTCTTTTATAAAATCAGAATTTTTCTAAAGAAGTTACAATAAAGATGTGTCATGTAATTAATGAATAATGAAAGAAAATCCAATCTAAAAAAACTTTTCTATATGGCTAATTTTTCTCTCATCAGTGTGATAAATGTAAAACAAAACCTTTAGAAAAGAAAAATTTAACAAGTAACGTTTCTTATAAATATTAAATTCTAATATATATATATAAAGCATGTTAAATGAAGGTATTTAATTTTTAGAACATAGGTTAATTATTTCAATTTAATTATTCTTACAATGTAGCAATAAGATTATACGAGATATTCGTGAGATATGGCTATGGATTTCATTTTCTTAAATTATTGATGCAGGGCATCTATTCTAAATATCTAAATAAAGTAAAGAATTTTATCAAAATGCTTTCAACATTGGGAGTTTTTTTATGCATATTTTCTAATGAAAAAAAAAAACTCAACCCAAGCATAAAACAGTACTGATTACTAACTTTATAATTGGATTATTAAATATAAAAATGGGACTTTCTGGAGTTAACTCATTAAAGCACATGAATATTTATCTAACTGGGCTTTTTGCTGTATGAGTAGACATTAAAGTATATATCTTTAAAACCCTTCTACCCCCTATGTTGTAATATTGTTTATAAAGTTTTATAACTAGTACAGTCAAAAGTCTTTAATCTGGACTCGTAGGGACTTTGGCAATTCCGGATTATAGGTTTTTCCGGATTATAGATCATCAGTTTAAATCTGGTAAAATGGCATGGAGAAATTATAAAATTAAAAATATGAAACCATAATTTATGAAGTAAAGAGCAATTATGATCTAAAGGGTATCAAAATTTACCAAAAAAACTATGCGTAAAGTAAAGCATACATTACGCATAGTCGATATTAGAAAATTGCAACCAGAAAACTATTTAATGTGTATTCGTGATATTTATAATGACGGGAAATTTGATTTAAATCATATCAAAGTACATCGAGATGAAATACTACATTTAGTAAGGAATTATAAGCCAAATAAAATAAAAACATCTTCCCCTTAAGATGAGGATAGTGCTGACAGATCAACTTCCAGTTCATTGCACGCCGCGACGTCCCCCCCCCACAAAGCAACGTGAAATTGATAAACAGATTTTGGAATGGTTAGAGAAACAAAGGATATGCCTTTATCCATTTTTTGCAGCAATTCCACATTTTATTTGATGGACATCGAAACATGCTTTCGCTTTGTAGATCCTTTGGTAGCTCCAGAATCGGAAATTTTTTTTGACATAATCAAAAGTTCAATCTTACTTTTATAAAATTGCTCTAACAGTCTGCAAAAAATAATAAGCCGGATTCAATTAGAAGATTAAGGAACAATGCAATCTGCAACATTAACTGAAATAGATAATTTTAGATTAGCTTATACCGTCCGTTATACATTAAACGGGCATGCGTAAACATATTATGCGCGTGCATAAAGGTATGCACATGCGTTAACACATCATGCATTGATGCATGCACAGAAAGTTTGTAGCTTTGAGGTCCAGATTATAGATCATTCCGGATTATGGACGTCCGGATTAAAGACTTTTGACTGTATATATATATAATGAAATAAAGATTACAGCCATCTTTGATTAACAAACTTGCATATTTTGCAAAACAGGAATAATGACAATATATTGATATTTGTAGATTTAAATCTAATAAGTTATTTTAAATTTAGTTTTAATATAAAAAATTCCAAATTTGTGATCACTGGCCTCTGATGCTTTGGTTTATTTTTCAACTTCAAAACAGTGCTAAAATACTCTGCATTTATAGAAAACATACTCTAAATTTTGATTTTTGATCATTTTTCAGGGTAACAGTATGCAGTTAGATACAATGTGTACGCAATATGTGTGCCAGATATCTGACAGACAAATTCACTATACTTCTCCTTGCTCCATAGAAATATATAAAATAAGAAAAAAGAAATATTCAGCCAGTTAAAACTTGGCACCTTCCCTAAAAGCCCCATATTTATTAAATTATCAAATGTTTCCACATTGCCTTCTAACAGTATTATGATAATTCAAAACTGAGCACTACTGTTGCTGTGACTTATTTCACTTGTCTGACATGAACATCAGAACAAACCTCCGAAATTCATCATGGGGAAATAGTGCAAGATTATGCCTATCTTTTGAGAAGAGCCTTGAGCACCATACAGGTGACAGTGCGACTTTGCTTAGTTCCGCCCCCAATTTTGATGAAGAGCAATCAAGATCCCTACCACCAACCTCTTCCATCTTTCCCTACCACCAACCTCTCAAGAGGACTTTTGGCTCACCACAAATTTAGAGTGCCCCCCATGCCACACAGACAGTATACATTTACAAACATCTGTGCCTTCTCTGGGATTCAAAACCAGGCCCTTCGGTACAGCAGTCAGTGTTGCTAACCACTATCTCAATTTGGCGGCATGTAGCACTCCTTTTAAGATAAATGCAAATTAACACTGCTGGTGAAATTATTGTTCAGTAAGTTGATAAGTCTGTTAAAAATAAAGTTTTCTTATTTTAACAGAAAAGATTTTAGCTATCTGAATGCAAAATTACCATGAGGCATGGACAACAAATATGTACTTTTAAATATAGTCAATTCTTTTATTCGAATTTTGCAAAATAAATTATCTTTATTTTAATTTTAAACAACTGAAATTGCTCACAGCCAATCTATTAAATTTTCCTTTACAAATAAAGATAGAACAAACTATTGTCGATAAAGTAAATTTCACTGAAAACCAAGTAAGGTCAGGTTTTCCTATGATATATATATATATTTTTAATCTTATGTACTTATTATCTTAATACATGTATATTTACATATCTCCCAAAATTCTTTTAATCCATTTTTTGGGGAAAATATTTAAATATGTTTTGTAATTCAAAAACTTTTCTGAAAAAATGTAGAGTAAGCTTATATCATAATATAAAATAAAAGATAAATTCAGTTAACATTATTGAAATGAAGTTTTAAATACAATTTTAAAAAACAGTGCTAGGGTTATTTTCACAAAATTCATCATTATTATGCATAACTTTATATAATTAATTAGTCTATGGTATCAAATGAGCAATCAGAAGAAATCAAATTTTGTGTTAAAAACACATTAAAGAGAAATGCAATGTATAAAAGTTATGCAACCCAAATTTTATGCACTGTAAAATTGGGAGTTAATTTGCGAAAGAAATTTTTAAGTTTTCTTTTTTCTGTAATCAATACACTTTAGTAATCAAAAGTGACACAACATTTATCATTATGTTTAGTCTGAACATTAATGACATTCATGCAAATACAATCTTACTAATTACTTGAAAACAGGTCACTAAATATTATGAAGCAATGCATGCATTAATGCCTTTCGTGATGTTGAATATTTTTATTGACTATCATTAATAGACTTTTTCAGGATTTTAATGCAGAATATAAATAAATAAAAGTATTGAAATTTCAGTTGTATAATATTTTGATCACCTAGCACAGGCACAGGCCTTATATCTTTGAGACATAAAAATGGCAATTTGAAATTTATGAATTGGCCAACTAAACTGAGAGAAATAAAATTGTCCCTACTCCCATTTTTTTAAATTTTTACTCAATATTATTTTAAGTTATTTTCATATTTCCCCCTATTTTTAGTCAATTAGTAAAACTGTAGATTTACTAACTTAAATATGCAATGATACAATGAATTTTTCTAACTGAAGTACAAACATGTCAATGTAAAATTTAAAATTAGCCAAAATAGCAAACAGATTACACTAATTTTGATTTGGGGAAGTCATTCATTGCACTGATAAAATTTTGTTCAAAATCAACACAAAATTGTTTTTTCACTTAATTTTAAATTTTATGTTTAATTATCTTACTTTTCAGACATAGTCCATGGTGGAGGTTCTTGATCTTCTATTCGTTCCATGCGAAATTTGTAAACATTAAATCCAGATAATCCTGTGGTAGAGTAATACCCTATAACTCTATATAAACCTAGAAAATAAAAGCCTATAAATATTTCTGTAAAAAAATTTTAACAATAGCAAATTTGGAATTTCTAACTGCAATATTTGCAGTTGAAAATGCATTTAGAAAAATTTTTAAGGAAAAAAAATAAAAAATAAAGGAATCTTTAAATATTGCATGTAGACTGAAAAAACTTTTGAGAGAAGAAGTCCGAATTACTAACAAATCTGTAAAATTTCCTCTTTATTAACCACTTAAAATATTGCATTATTATTTAATAATAATGAACAGAACAGTAAAAATATCTTTTTAATTCTTCATAAACTGCAACTCTGTTTAAAAAATGCAGTAAATATTCAACATAATTTCAAATAATTCAGAATATCGATATGAAATACAAGCATATGCACATATTTTCACATTACTTCACTAGCAAAACAAAAAGTATATATATTTTTAATTTATGTTTCACTGCATCAGTTCACACAGTAGTTACCCTATCTATTTGGTTTTCTACATTATTAAAAATAATTGCTAAATTAAGCTTGCCTTTCTTGATGGATGGAGAGAGGTTATTTTTTGGGAACTACTGTGCTTACATTTTTATTTGCTAATAATTGAAAATTCAGTATGATCTGCAGGCCGTTTTGATGTAGACAATGTCTTTAGGAGAAGCTGCTAGAAAGATGAGTAATTATGGAAGAATTATAACAAGCTGTCTAGTTATGCAATAAATTATCCCTAAAGCCTTTACAAATAGTTATCAGAAGGAATTTTTTTTATCCAAAAATTTATATGCAGTTTTGTGTAATAAGAACAAATAATATTTCGGTCTGTGTGGTATCTTCAGTAATGGTTCCATATAATCAAGTTAAAAGAGATTTAAATTGTCTTTTGGATACTGGGTATTTCTGTTTTCCATCTTCTTTCAGTCTGAAATTTTACAATATCTGTTTCTGCTTTTTCTGTGTAAGACAAAAAGCAAAATAACTTTTTGGTGTAAGACAAACTTAGTTTGTTCTAACAAGAAGTTTGACCTCTCACTGAACTTTGTCAGTCTAAAAGTTTTTGAATCTGAATAACATATTTGTTATGAAACAAAATTTGAAAAAGATTTTGATTTTACCAATTTACTCATTATGGAGACTTTCTCAAACCCTGAAATTTCGGATTTGAGAAAGTAAAAACTCTCAATTTCCAGCTATATCTGGTACCATAGTTACTTTCTATTCATATTCTGAATTTATTTTTTCTTTTCAAACATGAGCAAACAAAATATCCAGAGCAAAATAGTTCAGTAAACACAACTTGGTCAATACTTCCTAGCAATTACATAAGTGCATAAAAGCTATAACATTCAAACTGTATCAGTACACATATAATACACATACATATCAGTACACATATAATACACATACATATCAGTACACATATAATATGTGTATATTTGCATATACTATACACATATACATTTTCTGACATTCATACAAATTTTATTTATGATAAAGAAATTCAGAGTAGCAATCAGGGAGAAAAAAAAATTATTACTGACTAGAATTTTGTTTTAACAGCTCTAAGTTGTTCAGAGTTGGACCTAACTAATTTGTACCGCTAGTATCAAAATCACTTGAACTTCAGTTAACAGTAAATAGGTATTTACTAATTTTGAAGCTGAATTTAACCTTTTCACAATTCACACTAAATATTTTCCTTATAATTCTTTACATATGTGTTGCTTGAAATATTATTATTTGTATATTTATATATGTGTTGCTTGAAATATTTATATTTGTGTTGCTTGAATATTCTTTATATATGTGTTGCTGATAATTTAAATATTCATTTTAAAATGAAGTTTGTTGAATGCATGATTTTTAAAGAAAATAAATGTAAAATAAACAAAATGATGCATAATGAAATGGTACTTATAAGAAAGATCTCTTAGCCTGGGATGTTCATTGGTTCTGGAGAAAGAGGAGTATGTATCTATTCATTTAGAATTATATAGTGGTAAAAATGTTAACTGCTGCATTACTGTTGATAAGCTTTTGTTATAAAAATAATAATAACAGACAGTATAGGACTATTTTGTGGTTGCAGATTTCACTATGTTATTTTCTGAGTTTTAAATGAGGCATTCAAAGCACAAATCGATTAACTTCACTTTTTGAAGTATCTTAAATTTAAGTATTAAAGCACATAGTTCAGCCATAGCTTTTAAATTTATAATAAATTTCCCAAATAATAAAGCTTAACACCATTAAACAACAAAATTTTTTTGCTAATAATAATTGAATTGCTAATAATAATGGAATAATAATTTATTTTAAAAGCAATTTTGATTAACTCCGTACTCTAATGCAAGTCATCGCAATAATTCAACTCAAATTCAGTAGTACAGTAACAATAAAGTACTTAAAGACTTATGCTAAAAATTTTGAAAACATAACTACATATTCAGATTCGTATATCAGACAAAAAAGGAATATCAAAATTGTCTTCAATTAATTGAAACTTGTTAAAAATGAAAAAAAAAAAAAAAAAAAAAAAAAAAGTACTTTGAAATTGAAGAACAAAAGTACTTTGAAAAATAAACTTGCAAGATATCAATATTAAGTGAATTAAATTTTTACTATGATCTAAAAGTACCAGTTAAAATCTTTTCTTGAATCTATTAGATCATAATTTAAAAAGATAAACTTGCAAGATATCAATATTAAATTAATTAAATTTTCAAAAGAATGCAAAAGTACAAGTATGTAAAATTCCATCCTTTAAACTTTCATTTTAAAATTTAATTTAAACTATATTTTAAATATTAAAGCAACTTCTGCAATATTGTTCTGTAGAAACGTGTTTGTCATCCAAAGCTAATAATAATTCAACCAAGTATGTAATATTCTTTAATGCTTTCAATATTGCATTTGAATTGTTTTCTCCATAAAATATGAAACAATGCCTTCTAATGATAATATGCATGTAATTAAAAAAAAGACATACAAATAAAATTTTTTCAATATACATGACATATTTAGCATATATGTAATGTCACTAAAATATATATAAAAAAAATTACAATTTTTTTTTAAGGAGAAGTAGTAGTTTAAATTTTATTATTCTTGATAAGCATAGCATAGAACTTCCAAATGAATCAAGCTATTTCTTCATTAATTAAAAAATTAATAGAATACAATGATCTACTCGTATAATAAAAGAAATAAAGGTACTTAAAATAAAAATAAATATTTGTATAATAAAAGAAAATTTGTATGCAAAGTTTTCTCTACTGGCAAAAAAAATGTGTATATGGCAGAAGAGTAGTTTTGAATCTCATAAATCGAGCATATATGAGCATTTTACAGACAGGCTAGGCTAATCTAAATTTGTTGTTTGTTGAGTCAAACAAGCAATAGACAACAGCCATCTGCCTTGAGAAGAAAGATTTTGCGGTAAATAAGTTAGAATTTTTCAATTTAGAATTGAATCTCATATATTAAAGAATATACAGTCAAAAGTCATTAATCTGGACTCGTCGGGACTTCTGCGATTCCGGATTATCGATTTTTCCAGATTATAGATCATCAGTTTAAATCTGGTAAGACGGCATGCAGAAATTATAAAATAAAAAATATGAAACAGTAATTTATGAAATAAAGAACAATTATGATCTAAAGAGTATCAAAATTTACAAAAAGAAAAAGCTTAATAGTTATTTGTTTACTTTATTAAACATTTCTTTCAATGTAAGTTGTTTAAGTTGCTTCGTTTCATGTGATAATACTTTCTCTTTAATTCTATTAAACAGACATAATTTCTTGTTTAGTTACTAAGTTCCGCTGTTCAAGTACTAAAATTGCTGTGTTGAGAATACCGACTAATTTGTCAATCAAAATTTTTTCGTTTTCGATAACCTCTGTGTCACTTTCTTCACTATCAGAAGCGAATTATAATGACGAGGAACTTGAATTAAATCATATCAAAGACGGAGTACATCGAGATGAAATACTACATTTAGTAAGGAATTATAAGCCAAATAAAATAAAAACATCTGCCCTGAAGATAAGGATAGTGCTGACAGATCAACTTCCAATTCATTGCACGCTGCGGCATTCCCCCCGCAGAGCAGTGTGAAATTGATAAACAGATTTTGGAATGGTTAGAGAAACAAAGGATATGCCTTGATCCATTTTTTGCAGCAATTCCTGTTTTTGTTTAATGGACTTCGAAACATACTTTCGCTTTGTAGATCCTTTCCATATTAGTAAATATATATCAGAAATTCTATTTGACATAATCGAAAGTTCAAGCTTACTTTTATAAAATTGCTCTAACAGTCTACAAAAAATAATAAGCCGGATCCAATTCGAAGATTAAGGAACAACACAATCTGCAACATTAACTGAATTAGATAAATATAGCTTAGCTTATACCGTCCGTTATACATTAAATGCGCATGCGTAAACGTATTATGCGCATGCGTACACGCATATTCGCAACCGCAAAGATCTTACGCGCACGCATAAACAAACTTTCTGGTCTTATGCGCATGCGTAAACAAACTTTCTGCGCATGCGTCAACGCGACGCATGTGCAGAAAGTTTGTAGCTTTGAGGTCCGGATTATAGATCATTCCGAATTATGGGTGTCCGAATTAACGACTTTTGACTGTATTGTGTTATATTTCTTAGATGAAATATTTAACAATGAGTTTTTTTCATCTGTGTCAATAATGCTCAATTCACTGAAGGGATTTAAAAAAAAAAAAAAAAAACTCAGGCTTTATCATTTTATTTTCTCAATTCTTCAAATGTAATGAAAGATAAATGGGCTTTCTGAAAATGATAGTGAAAAATAAAATCTGAACATTATGAACAAAACAATTAATGCTATTATGGTATTATAGATCAGAAAAAAAAAACAGGACGCAGTTCTCTATTTTTATCGGTACTTGCATACTTTCCCATAAATCATAAAGTTAATAGAGATTTTGCTAAACTTAATATATAATTCTAGCCAAAATATAAAGGAATAAATTGCTCTTTATTTAGTTAAATAATCAATAGATATGAGTATAGCATATAAAAAATTTAAATAAACATGGGCTTAAATTTACACCAATCATTTTGATAGAAATTTATAAGGAACAGTGGTAAACTTATCTATCTTCTTTAAAGAAAACTAAACTAGCATATCAAAGGTTACTTAGAATTATAGAAAACTAAGACAAAAGATTTGTAGGTGCTGTGATATCACACATATCCTTTACTAACAGTAAATCAACTGTTTGGCGATAATAATTGCTTGTTGAAAATGCCAACAGGAAAGTATTTTAAGTGATCTTATATCTATGTATATTTTTGACAGTTTTTTATATGAAGAGTATTAGGAAAATTACTGGTATAATATATAGAAGTAATTAAATAATATATGAAAAAAGGCCTTGTAAAAGATTTTACCATCATATCTGTAGCCTTCTTCTGGAGCAAATTCACTTTTGAGTTTATAACCTCGAAGAACTCGAACAGGAAGCTTCTTTTCTATATTTCGTACTAATGCTAAATTTCCTCTTTCTAGTACTTGATCTTTAGACTGTGGAGCAGTCCTTAAATTCTGAAACAAAAATTTAAAAAAAATGTAAAAAATAATTATTGCACATATTACAACTCTGTAAAATATGTTCATTATATAACATTAAAAATATTTCCACCAGCTCCAGCTGATGAAGCAGATGGAAGCTGCTATAATTTTATATATGTTTAAATGTAGTTCCTGTGTGCAAATATAGAGTATTTTAGCCTGCACATGAAAATCTTTATCCAGCACTGGCTAGTAAAAAAGTTAAACGTAGCCCCAAAATACGAGGGCCATCCAGGAAGTAGATTACGTTTCCGTCTGTGTCCGCTAGGGGCGGGGCTAGCGCGGCCATCTTGGGGTCAGAGCGTTGCGCAGCTCAGTCTGCATCTAGCCGTGCTAGTGAGAGGTTCGTGCTGTGCTCCGTTCAGAATCTGTGACGGTTTGAAATGTCTGCGTTAATTGAAAATCCTGCGAGGTGCGCTCAGTAATAAGGTTTCTGACTGCAAAAAACTGTAAACCGATAGAAATCTATCGGCAGCAGCTTCGTGAAGTGTATGGGGACAACATTATCACTGAAGGTGGAGTGCGTCAGTGGGTCATAAGATTTCAAAATGGCCGAACCAATGTTCACGACGAAGATCGAAGTGGGACCCAGCATAGTGACCGCCGAACTTCTCGAAAAAGTCGATGCTAAAGTCCGTGAAAATCGAAATTTCACAATAACGGAACTTTCTTTGAGTTTTTTCCACAAATTTCGCGAAGTTTGTTTGCACGAAATCATCAGCAAAAGCTTGGTTACCACAAGTTTTGTGCAAGATGGAAGGCAAGAAAGAGGTAACGAAGTGGTTGAAGGCGCAGGCGGCCGAATTTTTCGACGAAGGAATTTCCAAGCTCGTACAATCGCTACGATAATGCCTTAATTTGTATGGTGGACTATGTAGAAAAGTAGTATTTGAGTGTGGCTTTCATCTGTATATAATAAAATTTGTTTCCTATACTTTGTTTATTTTTTTATTCCAAAACGTAATCTACTTTCTGGATAGCCCTCGTAATTGGAATGACAACATTGCAAATGGGAGTTTTGTTATAGATTATAATTCTTAATCCATGCTAGTTTAAGATTTTCTGCACCAACTACTAAATTACTGACTTAGAGATTTTCTGCACCAACTACTAAATTACTGACTTAGCATACATAACGTGCATGGTAATTTCAAATAACAGATAATATTGTGTGTTGATGTAATAATGCATACAGAAAAAATAAGAAAAATGAAATTATTTTGGTTAGAATATGCTTTTGAAAAATCTTTTATCTTTTCATTACGTATATTTTAAATACCTTTGTTTTCTATACTTATACTCATCATAAATTTTTATTAAAAAAAATCTGATAAATTAAAGCATTAATATTTAGTTATTTAAGATACCATCATGGCATACATTAATAATGCAAAATCTCGAATCACAACGTGTCTGTGTGATTTTCCACACATACACTTGAATTATAAATTTTGGAAGGGAAAGAAAGATTAGCTTTTGTTAAATAATAATAATAATAATAATAATAATAATAATTAAAAAAAATCACTTTTTATAGGATACATTTGTTAAGCTATTATTAAGTTACAAATACCTCCTCTCTCTCTCTCCCTCTCTTTTTTTTTTTTTTTTTTTTAAATTTTTTTTCTGTTTTTTCTCTAACAACAGAAAATATACATACAAATATATAAAGAATATAGCACAGGATTTTACGTAAGTCTTTTTAAAATAAATTCTAAAATTCCTTAATTTTTAAGGTTCACCCCAGTATTTTTTTACAAAATTATGTATATAATAACAAAAGTGTGTAAATAGGATTTTCAAAATTTACATCTAGTGCAGTTGCTACTAACATTGTCATACAAAAATTATTTGAACATTGTCATACAATAATTATTTGAAGTAAATTACAACAGGAAATTTTAATATTTTGAAATAAAAAATATGTAGATTAATGTAATTAAACTTTACTGTGAAAAAGTAAGCAGCCTTTAGCTAGGAGTGAAAGTAAACTATAAATCTTAAAAACCTTTTGAAAAAAGACCCAATTAAAATTACAGAAGTCTCAATTTGATGCTGTTTTATTAAAGAATTACTTCTCTGAAATCACCAGGAGGTGTTCCTTAACAAGCTCTAATTTTAATAGATTTTAATATATTTACAATTAACTTAGCCAAAGTCTGTTTACTTATTTATTTCACAGTAAAGTTTAATTTTATTATTCTATAAATTATTTTATTTCAAAATCTGAAAGGGAACAAAATTAACTTCTACGATCTAATAACATCCACAAATTCAACTTTTTATTTTTCATCAATTAAAGAAATATTCTTGATAAACAAATATTCTTATTGAATAAAGATTTTCTCAGAAATATAAAATGCAAATAACTATCCAGTTAATTAAAGAAGTCATCCTGCTCAAACTTCTAGGAAGTTTCTAATCTGAAGATTTTTTTTTTTTTTTTTTTTTCTTGTGAAGAAACAATTATAACAACTCAAAACCTTACACTGAATAGCTTAAAATATTCTAAATTAACAAAATGACAATTAAAAGGTACATTTAAAATCTATGTAAAATTAGAATTTTATACTTATCTATTACCCATCGATCACAAAATTGTTGCCACACAGCTCAATTTAGCATTAATTATGGATATCTTGAGTGATTCTCAATAAGCCAATGTTTTTATGAACAAGGATTAAAAAAAAGGATAAAGTTATTGCTACACACTTTTCTTGTACTTCAGGGAGGAGGGGATTTCAAGGCCTCTGGAATCACATTTGTGACTGCAGTTTGGTTTATTTACAGCTAGTCAACAGAATCAATATGTATTTAATTGGGAAAGAAATAGCTGGATATGGCTGATTATACAGAAATAGATAGGAACAATCAACCTGTCGCAAGTTATAAAGTTAAAACAGAGCTTCTGGCCCTCTGATTTTACTGGAAGCTTTGAAATAAATAGTAATTGAATTTGAAATAATTATAGTAAAATCAGAGGGCCTAAAAAATACTAGAAATTGAAATTTTTATGAAGCAAAAAAACATATTGGGTTGAATACTTCTACAGCAGTGGCTATTAGTGTATCTTGCAGAAAGACTGATGAATGTTTTATTATAAGAGTTGCAGATAGAACTGCAACTCAGAATTCCCGAGAAATGTTCATGGTTTGATGGTAGCAAATGTTTATGGTGAACAGGTTAATATGCAAGTACCGAATTTTCAAATATTAAAACATAACTGTAGATCCTACCGTTTGAAAATATAAAAGTAACATTAGTTAATAAATTGATGATTTAAAAACATACTGGAGAAACATAAAATTTAATGGTTTCTTAAATCTTGCTTATTAAAATATATCTGCTTAAAAAACTTATGTATTACCCCACTGATTGTGAAATTTGGTAGAGATCCTGCCAAAGTTGCAACATGCATTTGTACTACTTTGTAAAGCCAACCAATTTTAACAGAATTTCTGTTAGAGTGCTAAGATGATCTCATAAGTTTGAAAATAATCCCCTGTTTGCTTCTGTATAAGAAGCAAATCCCAAATTTTAATCTTTCTCCGCTCCCCCAAAATGCAAGGGAGAAAATGCAGCAATAACCATAAATGCACATCCTTATTCATAAAAACGAAAGGTGGCTTATTTGGAATCAATTGTGTTACATCAAACCAAAGCAAAAATATTATGAATGTGTTATTAAATCATGCCTATCCATAATTGGCACTAAATTTCACAACTTGACAATGTTTTCATGGACGATGGGATAACACGTACAAAATTCAAGATAACAAGTATAAAATTCCAATTATATAAATAATTATTTAAGTTTCTTAGTCTTGTTTATTAAAATACACTGCACACAAAAAAGGGGGGGACAGTTCTATTACTCCCGTTCTACTGGGCCGATTGAAGAAATTCAACTTGTGGTTTTCATGTCTCGAAAGCACGACTTAGGAATATGCATTAGATTTATATATAGCATTGTTCTAATATAGGTATTTTGACACAAAACCTGACTTTTCTGAAATATTATACCAATTTTTTTCCATATTTCAATTCTACTACTCAAATTACGCCAAACTACCAAATTTTGTAAAAATCGCACGAGCAATCTTTAAAAAATTAGCTCTCAAAATTTTAGCTCCTCAATGTTAATTGAGTTTGGTATATATTTATAAATCTCTCTTTTTTTTATTAATTTATTTGATTCTTCCCTTCACATTTCGAAATTCAGGTTCATTCCAAATAAATTTTTATTAAAATTTGTATTTTTAAATAATTTTTATAAATTTTTCAAAAAACAATTTGAATTATAATCTATAAAATTTTTACCATTATCTTAAAGTAGATGCATTTCTAAGCATACCTACAGAGGATTACAGTTTTTTATTCAAAATTTCCGAAGATGTACGTGAATTTATATATTGGCATGTTTTGAAAATTGGCATCTTTGTAGAAAGCGATAAAACATCAAATGTGGTTAAAACACTTTGTTTTTATTAAATTAAATTGCTTAAATTTTTGGAAGTAGAAACGATGTGACTTTTTTGTGTTCATGCACAATGTAAAAAGGTACGAACGAGGTCTCTTTTTTTCTGCCCGGCATAATGGAACGGAAAAGTAAAATGGTTGCCATATATTAAGAAGTTCGCCAAGTGAATTATTCTTGGCCAAACTGAAAAAAATTTCACCAAGATTAATTTTTGAATTTCTCCATAAATTTCACACCAAATTTTACAAAATTTAATATCTAGGCAGAATTTGAGAATCGAAATATGGAAAAAAAATTGGTATATTATTTCAGAAAAAGTTCGATTTTGTGTCAAAATACCTATATTAGAAAACAATGCTATATATAAATCTAATGTATATCCTGAGTCGCGTTGTCGAGACATGAAAAACGCAATTTGAATTTTGTCAATCGGCCCAGTAGAATGGGAGAACTGTCCCCCCCTTTTTTTTCCGCAGTCTACATTTTGCTGCAAGCAAATAAGGATTCAAAATGTATAATTTTACTGTCTAAATAAAGATACAAATAAGCATAGCTTTATATTGAATTAAAACTTTTTATAACACAAATTATGAATGAGTGAAGGGGTAATTTTTATGGTCTAGAAATTGCATGTATGAATCTTATTTTGTGCTTAAAATAATTTAACTTCAGTACTGCCATTCCTATGCAGTTATTTCTGTTTTTCCATTTTATCAGTTCTTTTATTTAAAGTATTTTATTTATTAATTATGTGGCTATTTCTCTTCTTTTCAGTGTAATGCTATAAAGTATATTCTATGTGAAACTGTCAATCATTTGTATCAAATTTTTTATTTCAAGCAAATGCTGTTTTTCTATGAGATATGAGATTATATGCTCACCATGCCAAAGGTAAAAAGGGAGTAATGCATTTTTTATCTTTTAATTAACATGATAATAATCATCATAGAACATACTGAATATACACATTTTAACTGAACTCAAATTTAATACTTTAATTGAAGGAAATCCAAAATAATGAGCATCTGATTATGAAGTACACATTTATGCCAGAACATTGGCAAATTTAAATTTTCATTAGTGTGAATGACTGAAAAATTAATTTTAACAATATTAATTAAAAATATAATTTACATGCAACCGATTAGCAAATACTGAAATTTTTGAAGAAAATGGCTAAATGTGTTTTCAGCTAGAACAAAGTATTTTAGAAATGAAGATCAAATATATAAAGCAAATTTAATGATTAGGTCAAGATTGCATTGCTTAATAATAAACTAACTGAAGAACAAATATATAATACTTAAAAGATTCAAAAAGAATCTTTTATATGATTAATTTCTGCAACAATATGCTCATTCAGCTATTCAGATATATTAAAGAAACAAACATTTTTTAACAGCTTTATGCACACCTTCATATAATAAATTCACATATATGAGTAAACAGTTCATGAAAGTTTGAGAATTAATGAAAATCTGCCATTAACTGTTTCTTTATTAAGGAAATATTATTGGACTTGTGTTAATTTTAAAGCTAACCAGAACAAACCATCTGTAGTACCTCGGTAAAATTCATAATAATAGCTGCCCATTAAAATTAATTCTTTCCTGAATGTATATGCAATTATAAAAGTTAATACAGTACATAGTCCAAGATCCGGAATGATCTAAAATCTGAACCTCAAAACTGCCAACAACTTTTTTTTTTTAAATGCTTTACACATGCGCATTTGATTTCCCATATTTCTATACATGTTAAATTTAATTGAGTAAAATTTTTGCCTTTTTTTGCGAGACTATGGCATTACAATTTTGAGTTTGGGTGAATGAAATGGAACCCACTGCAAATATTAGTAAAATATGTTTAGAAAATTAGCTGTGTTGAGAAGGATAAAATCCCTAGGTTTGAGTTTGCAGTATTTTACCTCCTAAAGTTTCTCGAGTTCAGAAATTGATGCCAGGCTTATTCTCTTTGTGCAGATAAGTTAAAATTTTGTTATTGTTTTTATAGTATATAACTTGCAAATATATGACTAGAATTCTATTAAAGACATTTTCAAATTCTGGAACGGTATTTTAAAATTTTAGATGTAGAGAATTCACATTGCTATGTCGGAGCCAGTGGCAGTCAGGTGAAGTAATACCGTTTTGCTTATGACATAACAAAGGAGTCGTAACTGAAAAATGTTTAAGAACGCATGCTTTAGATCATAAATGCTTCATTATTTCATATTTTTAATTATATAATTTCTGCATGCCATCTTACAAGCATTAAACTGATGATCTAATATCCGGAAAAATTGCAAATCTGGAATCACCGAAGTCCCGATCTCAGACTTTGTACTGTACTTAACAAATGAAAAATAAAATATTTTTAAATAAGATACAAATCTAAACATAAATTCTTTTAAGGGTATGTTTTATGAAGGTTATGTTTATTAACAAGCAATAAATTTTAAACTGAAAATTAGATATAAATATAATTTTAAAAAAAAAAAAAAAAACGTGACGAAAAACGAAGTGAAATGTAAAATTCACCTTCGGGTTTGCTTTCGTTCCCTTTAAATCTCTTCCACCTTCTCCAGTATAAATAAAACTTTCACCAAGATCTTTATCATCTTCATAACCTCCAGATAAAGCAAGAGAGTAACAGCCTAGGGAAGGATTCCCATGAATTCCAGCAACAGTAGGCCTTAGAGAAAAAAAAAACAAAATATATGTAACAAAGAATTATTGCTTATTGGAATAATTATGATGCAACATGAAATCAAATAATCTTTTATTAAAGGCATAAGAAAGATTATTTGATTGCAGTTTATCTTATTTCAGAAAGGTGTAACAGAGAATACTGAATGTTTCAGCACTTCATTTAACAGTACATTTTTTCATATTATAATACTGCATCACATTTAAAAGATGAAATGTCAGAAACCTCTTCTCAAAGAGGAAAGTCATGCACTTATGTGACTGAAAATATCACCCAGTACTTTAACATATCCATCTTCCAGCAAATAATAAGAAATCATAATGTATCTACTTTTTGCTGCAGTGACAGTTCCACTCTATCAGAAAGATTATCCACCAATATTTTTAGAATGCTGTATTGAAATTAAATATTCTGACTAATGAGCAATGTCAATTTCATGCAGCATAGACTAGCTTGAAGCCAGCATTCCATCTCACAAGGGCTCTAGAGAACCGAAGTTAGAAAATTAGAAATTGAATCAATAACACTAAATTCTTGCCACAGTACAAGATGCATAGAATTATCTAAAATATTGAGATAAATCTTGTGAAGTTTCTTTCACATAAATAAAGGACCCAAATTTGAATCTTAAGAAACAGCCATTGATTATTTATTATACTTTCACGGCTAAACTTCACTTTGGATTTAGTATTGCAGTACACTAACATTCTTGCAGTCCACACCTGCACACTGAATTGCCAGATAACATAATGAAATCAGTTGCCTCTGCTCAAAGTTTGAGTGCTGTTCAATTTTATGTCACTGTAAATGACACATGAGGTATTTTAATGTTTGTTTTATATGTGATTGCACAACAAATGAAAACCTTAAGTTTGAAGCTCAGCAAATTGTTCTGTGCTCGTGTTACTCCCAGACACATCTTGGAATTTGAAATGAATGTATTATACCATTTCCATGCAATTCTATTTCATAACCTTCTTCAACATGTTTTATAGGACACACAGCAATAATTAACCAACCATGGTTTTACAGTTATAACTATTCCATAAATGCACTATTTATAGTGAAATGAGAAACATGTAATCGAGTAGAAATTTTGAGAACATATTTTCCACAAGACCAATAATACTAAGTAACTGACTGCACTTGATGCTATATTTGACTCATATTTTCAATTTTTGCTTTAACTGTTGTGAAATTAACCATTTCCTTTTAGACCTATTTGAGTTTAATCTGCCATGTCAGTAAAAGAATTCATTATTTCTCAGAATGCCTGAATATTTTTAATCATATAATTTTGGTTTCTAAAAGCTTGAAAAAGATGTGCAAGATCGAAAATTCATGAGATGTGCATGTTTTTCTCATTTCTCAGACTTTCAGGAAAATTAAAAATGGCCAACAACATTTTTGTCTCTTTAAATGACACAATAATAATCATTACATAGGGTGTCCCATAAATGTTGGTACAGACTTGAAGAGGAGGTAATAATAATTATTGATAACCTGCTCCACTACTGGCACTAGGGCACATCGAAAGGATTGAAAATTGTATAGTAACCCATGACCATAAAATGTCATTGTATGCTGCTGGAGGTGCTGTTCACAAGGGCGCTGGAGGGGAAATATCTGATTTTTCATCATTTGTGCATTAGTCACTGTAAAACAAGTATGCAACAACGTATACAATATCCATTTATTTTGATTAACTAGTTAATTTATGTTAATTAGCTTTTTTGTCTTTCTCGCTTTCCATTTTCCTTCTAGAATGCTAATTTTTAGTTCCCACGTATTCAGATGAAGTAGGAAAGAGAATTTAAAGGAAAGTTTTAGATGGTAGAATTGAAGCATGTTCTGCCTGAAGGGTCACATTTAATGTTTGATTCTGTCGAGCTGTGGCATTACATTATTCTCTCCATTAGGCCCATCACGCTGACATTAGGTTTTTGAGTCAACTTGCAGGCATTTTGTCTGTGTAGCCCTTTTGTATAACTTACAATTAACACAGTTTAATTTCAATTCTAATACATTTTGATTTACACCATAAATGTTGTCTGGTTCTCTAAGGACAAAATGTACCTTCTGTTAATTCTAGCTGAGTTAAATAAAAGGATCCTTTGTACCATTCACAGCCTCTATGCTAATTTCCAAGACATTAAAGGGGGAAAAAAAAACCCTGAGATTCTATAAACATTATACTAACATAGATTAACAGGGAGCTGGGAAAGATGCAGTTAGTTGGCTAAAGACAATATAATATACGAGCAACTCAGTGACTGTCTCATGAGTAGTTCCCATAGAGAGATGTACTGCATCACTGTTTGTTTTTAAATATGCATCACAATTTGTATGAATATGGATCTTTAAGAGGTAGTAGGCCATGAGTGACTTGTATGCTCTCCATGGAATATCATGCATTGAATGCATTTTGCACAATGGTATCTCCACAGTACCTAAGAAGCCCATTTCCCACATCATGCTCTGTTTATTGATGGGGCACATTTCAAGCGAGATGGTGTGTTAACCAATGCAATATGTATTTATGTGCTTATGCAAATCTCTACAAAATGAGACCACAGGATCCCCAACATTGCATCTTGATTAATATTTGTTTAACACTGTGCTAGTTTAATTGATGACTGCTCAGTTGGGCCTTGCCTGTTGTCATGGCATGGGCAAATTCTCTCATTTTTCTGGAAGAGGTTTTACCAGATTGACTTAATACTGTGCCACAAATTGTGAGATGCAACATGTGGCTTCAACATGATAGGATGCCTTCCCATAATGCAAGATGCGTTTGGAGACATTTTAATGTGCTCTTTGGTCAACAATGGATTGGGTATGGCGGACTGGCTGCCTGGCCCCCATGCTCTCCAGATTTGAGCAACCTGAATTTTTTCGTTGGGAAGCATTTAAAACTGTTGTGTATCACACACCTGTTGAGTCTGAAAGGGATCTGGTTGCAAGATTCATCACTGCTGCTGCAGCTATCAAAGCAAATCCAGGTGTTTTTGACCATGTCTGCCAATCCATAGTCCATTAGTTTAATGTATGAACCACTTGCAGTAATGGAAACTTTGAACATCTTTTGTAATATTTTGAAATATTATATAGTACAATATATGTAATATTTATGAGCAATAAATACTCCTAGCAATTGGTGTGTTTCTTTATTTGTATCTCCGATACCACTTTCCCCTGATGTTTCCGGTCATGGGTTGCCATGTGATCCACCTCCTCTTAAAATTTTTACCAGTATTTATAAGACATCCTGTGGAACATACTGAATATCCATACCTTAATTAAATTCATATTTAATACTTTAATGGAAGGGAAATCCAAAATAATAAACACTTGACTATCAATTAGATATTTATGTAGAAGTAATAAAAAATAACTGGAAATATGTCTGAATTCATTCATACATAAACCAATAATATAGTATAAATATAATAGAGCACATATCAATTAAGTGACAGGAAAAGTATCATAAATGTAAAAAAAAAAAAAAAAGAGGAGTATGTGCATAAGAAAAAGTCATGTCATCATACGGAAAACAGATAATTTTAAAAGCTTGCCTTCAAAATCTTAGTTAGTAACAAAATAAAGTACTGTATCAATCATTTCATATGGAACAGCTGCCATTGAAAGCTATAATAACAGATACAGTCAAAAGTCTTTAATCCGGACTCGTCGGGACTTCGGCGATTCCGGATTATCGATTTTTCCGGATTATAGATCATCAGTTTAAATCTGGTAAGATGGCATGCAGAAATTATAAAATTAAAATATGAAACCGTAATTTATAAAATAATGAGCAATTATGATCTAAAGGGTATCAAAATTTACCAAAAAAGAAAGCCTTAATATTTATTTGTTTACTTTATTAAACATTTTCTTTCAACGCGCGGATGCGTAAAGCATACCTTACGCATAGCCGAAATTAGAAAATTGCAACCAGAAAACTATTTGATTTGTATTCGTGGTATTTATAATGACGAGGAATTTGATTTAAATCATATCAAAGACGGAGTACATCGAAATTAAATACTACATTTAGTAAGGAATTATAAGCCGAATAAAATAAAAACATCTGCTCTGAAGATAACGATAGTGTTGACAAATCAACTTCCAGTTCATTGCGCGCCGCGACGTCTTCCCCCCCCCCGCGCAGAGCAGCGTGAAATCGATAAACAGATTTCGGAACGGTTAGATAAACAAAGAATATGCCTCTATCCATTTTTTGTAGCAATTCGTTTTTTGTTTGATGGACATCGAAACATACTTTCGTTTTCTAGATCCTTTGGGAGCTCCAGCATCGGAAATTCTATTTGACATAATCAAAAGTTCAAGCTTACTTTTAGAAAATTGCTCTTACAGTCTGCAAAAAATAATAAGCCGGATCCGATTCGAAGATTAAGGAACAACGCAATCATCAACATTAACTGAAATAGATAATTAGATAATTTTAGCTTATAGCGTCCGTTATACATTAAACGCCCACGCGAAAACGTTTCTGCACTTGCGCAGACGCATATGCGCAGTCGTAAATGTCTTGGGCGCACGAGTAAAACGCCTTTGCGCATGCGTCATTGCGGCGCATGCGCAGAAAGATTTTAGCTTTGAGGTCCGGATTATAGATCATTCCGGATTATGGGTGTCCGAATTAACGACTTTTGACTGTATAACATTTCAAATAAAAACGAAAAATGAAATTCTGTACCGATTCAAGTCAGATTCTAATCATCAAACTAAATTTTAAGCATTTAAAAAATTGTTTATAAATAATCTCCATAATGCTTATAAAATAATAATGATTAATTTGGGGAGAAAAGAGAGATGTATACAGAGGCTGGTATAGTGTAAACATAAATTCTTACTGGTATAGTTAACTTAATTTATCAGCCTTATTTTAAGAAATAAAATCTGTTAATTTAGTTTTAACTGCATAATTAATATACCAGAAACACTTAAAAATATTTGACTCA